CTCAAATAAATAAATAAAATCTTTAAAAAAATAAAAAATAAAAAATAAAAAAAAAAAGGAAGTCATAGTGTTAGAAGCCGGCTCACGTCACTGGTTCAGCCTCTACTCCAACCGGAAATCTGATAACCACAGGTCATTCAGCTTTTGCTTGAAGCCTGCTAACTATTCATTATTTCTATGTTGAACACCTATTTAGTTTCATAAAGAAGTTAAAGAATGACTTCAAAATTAATTACACTAAAGAGAAATAGAGGAGTTTTAAAAATTAGATGAAAAAATGTTTTAAAGATTTATTTGAGAGAGCGAGTGAGCGAACAAGTCCAAGTTGCGGGGGAGATGCAGAGGGAGAGGAGAGACAGAATCTCAAGCAGACTCCCTGCTAAGTGTGGGGCCCACCTCCGGGCTCGATCCCACAACCTTCAGATCATGGCCTGAACCGAAATCAACAGTCGGACGCTTAACCAACTGAGCCACCCAGGAGCCCCTAGATGAAAAAAATTTTTTTAAAGATTTTATTTTTAAGTAATCTCTATACCCAACGTGGGGCTTGAACTTACAACCCCGAGATCAAGAGTCACGTGCTCTGACTGAGCCAGCCAGGTGCCCCCAAATTAGATGACCACTGTATTCCTCGATCAACCAGCAACAGCAAACAGAATGTTCCACAGTGTTATGGCTGGGATGATGAAGAGTAACAGCTAACACAGTAATCTTTTTAATAATAGCTCCTCTCTAGCAAGTACTTGCAATGGGCTACGGATATTCTGATAAGCACTTTATGGACCTCATGCCCTGTGGTCTTCCCAGCAACTGTATAGGGTTGTCAGTATTATCCCTTTTATTATTTTTTTTAAAGATTTTATTTATTTATTTGACAGGGAGAGACATAGTGAGAGAGGGAACACAAGCAGGGGGAATGGGAGAGGGAGAAGCAGGCTTCCCGCGGAGCAGGGAGCCTGATGCGGGGCTTGATCCCAGGACCCTGGGATCATGACCTGAGCCGAAAGCAGACGCTTAACGACTGAGCCACCCAGGCGCCCCGGTATTATCCCTTTTAGAAATGAGGAACCTGGAGCATCCGGTCACCTGCTCAAGCCACACAGCAGGTGCTCGTGAAGAAAACCCCGGCTCCTCCTTCATTCTCACCACACATCCCAAACACACCTGCAACAGATGTAGGCGAGGGCAGGGGCTTCCCACACCAAGCGATTCTCTGCAACACCAGCAGGGTGTCCTACTATTGTACTCCATTCTGACACTACCTGGAGGGAGTTTCACATCCCACAGGCCAGGGGCTCAGTCCCACGAGGCTGCCCCCCTACCCCCATTTCAGAAGCCAACTGCAAGTAGTAGGTCCCCAGGACGCCCACAGCTTCTGTCTGATTTGGCTACAAACTGGAGGGTCCCATGACCTCCTCTCCCCTGGATTTTGATTATTGGCTAGAACAGCTCACAGAACTCAGGGAAACACGTATGTTTACTAGCTTATTACATAATAAAGGATTTGGATACAGATGAAAACCAGAACAAAAGACACATAGGGTGAGGTCTGGGAGAGTCCTGAGGGCAGGAGCTTTGGTGGAGTTGGGGTCCATCACCCTCCCATTACATGAATAACCCAGACGCTCCCGGAACCCTGTACTTCTGGAATATTTATGGCGGCTTCATCATAGGCATTTCCAGCCCCTCTCTCCTTTCTTGGAGAATGGGGGCGGGGGGGCGGGGCTGAAAATTCCAGCCTTCTAATCATGGCCTGGTCTTTCAGAGCCCACCCAGAGTTGCCTCATTAGAACAAAAGACACTCCTATCACCCAGGAAATTCCAAAGGATTTAAGAGCTCTGTGTCAGGATCCAGGTCAAAGACCAATCTTAGAACAAAAGATGCGCTTAGTGCTCTTATCACTTAGGAAATTACAAGAATTTTAGGAGCCCTGTGCTGGGAACGGGGGCAGAGACCAATGCTTATATTTTCTATTACCTCACAGTGCTGGAGCAGGGTTCTGAACAAAGCCTGTGATTCCAAAGTCAGAGCCCTCAGAACAATGACAGCTGCCTGGTCACTTGTCCAGATCTTTGGGTCATGCTCATTGGTGGTGATTACTCACTCTCTCCTCACTCATCAGCACTCATAACCTATCAAAGCCTTCTAGATTTCTTCAGAGGGGCTGGTCTGCCAGCCCCTCCAAGGGCACATCCCTGCTGCCCATCTTTCCCCCCAAAACGTACCCATGATCCTGCGGATGGGGTCGTCGGGACTGGCTACAGCCTGGATCTGGCCCTTGAGCACGGCCTCCTTTTCCGTGGTGAAGGGGGTGAGCCCACACAGGGCTAGGCAGCTGCTCACCTCCAGGCAGACTTTCTCCCCAATGGTAGTCAGGGCGTCCTTCAGATGGAAGGAGCTAGAGTACAGAAGGGAAAGGAGAAGGCAGGGAGGAAAGAGCCCATAAGCAAAGTGCACATCCACCGAGCTCAAGCCAAGTTAAGAGCCCAAGCCCTGATAAGAGTCACAATCTGAGTCAGTTCATAGACTGACATGTTCAAAGAGAAAGTCTAGGACTCTCTTCCCTGCCCCCAACCTTCCAGGCTGTGGACACCTGACTCAGGAGACTCTCTCTCTCTCTCTCTCCTAGAAAGGACAGTGGGAAGGGAAGGGCTGAGACTATACCAGCGCTAACAACCCCAAACCCAACTTCTTGCTAGCATCTGTGTGCTGAAATAAGCCTGAAATCTTGAATGCCACTGAGTAATACGCAAGAATCCAGAATCAGGGAGCTGTGGGACAGGAGTGGGAGAGAAACTTTTCACTGGATACCCTTCTGTCCCTTTCGATTTGTGAAACATGGGAACGTATTAACTACTTTAAAAAAGTAACACTGAAATCCCGAAGTTAAAAAAAATGAGCACCTTGATTTTTCAGAGCGCTCAGGCTCTCCTGGAGTATCGGTGGGGAGCCCTCCTGCTGGTGGGTTTCCTGTAAGGCTTTTGTTCTGGGCCTAAACCCTTGGTACAGCAGGAGTCGTGGGAGCAAACGTGCAAGCCCTGGGACTCCCTGCTAGTACCAACTCTGTGCCAACCTGAGAGCCAGGGTGGATACTGAAGCGCAGGGCGGGAACCCCCTGAAGAAGTGCCAGACAGGGCCCCTCCTGGTAGCTTTAAGCAGTAGACAACCGGTCTGCCGGGGGGCGGGAGGACCTCGGTGACAGCCCAGGGCTGCCCCCGTGCCAGGGCCTCAGCTCAGCAAACCCCTCCCGGCCTACCCCAGCATGTGCACACACACCCCTCACCGCACCGAGCACAGGCACGCTTTGTGCGAACTCGGCAGGAAAATGCCTCCGTCTCGTAAGGATGAGAAAGTCTGGGGACATTCTCCTCCAGGAATCCTCTGAACTGGGCCCTGTCAGAGGCCGTGTTTACTTCTGACCAGTAGAGAATATCCTGTAGGCTGGGAACCACACGGACCTGAGCGGACGTCTCCGCAGGGGTGGCCTCGTGCTGCCCGATGAACTGAGGCATTTACACGCAGCACTGGGGGCCGCGAGGAGCGGGCAAGGGCACAGAACTGCTCACGGCCCAGCGACTCGGGGGGGACGCCGCCCGCTTCTTAGAGGACTTTTCCCAGGGCCGTGCCGCCCAAACTGTTAGGGGCTTGTGAGAGCATTTCAGCGGGCAGCAACCAGTGTTTTTTTATTTTTTTTTAATGTTATAAGAATTTGTGTTAAGCATGGTTCAGATTAAATTTCACTTTGTGAAGTTTTTATTTCAGTTACATGTGTGCTTGAAGTGTGTACTAGGTCACAGCGGAAAATGAATTTCTTACTGTGGGTCCTGGGCCTAAACATGTGAAAGCCACTCTCCTAGAGCCTTGCGGACCCTAGAATTGACTCTAACGCCGTTTGTATGAACCCGGATCAGTTCTGCTGGGGTGAAAAAACCAGGGAGCAAGGTTTCCTCTCAGTTCCTAGAGAGCAGCCCCGGGGCGTCCCCACACCGGGAGAACCCCCTGCAGCCGCTCTCGGCCACCCGCTGCCTCCCAGCTGTTCCACAGGGGCCACTTACGGCAGATGCGCATCTGTCAGCAGAACCTTCACGATCATCTTGAGTTTCTCAGCAAAGTCGGCCTGGCTGGCAATTCCTGGGGCTGCCATGCTGAACGTGACCAGCAACACGGCTCCCAGAATGGTGAGCTGCTCCAGCTGGAGCTGGAGCTCTTGGAAGCGAGCCTGGTCCATCAAAACGGTCTGTAATGGAGACGACAGAAATCATCCCTGAGCGGGAGATGCAGGCTGGCCAGCAGGGGGCGGTGGGGCTATAGCCCCACACAGGCCTCCACAGGTGCCCTCAGAATTTTCTAGTCATTTCAGAGCTGAGGGAGTCATGCGTGAATCATCCTTCCCCCTCAGAGCCCCTTGCTCCTTAGGAAGACTGCCAGAGAGCACTCTCACTAAGAACAGGAGGCAGATGGCCACGGAAACGCAGTATAACCTCACACCAATTTCTCCAACCCTCGGAGCCCTGTGCAAAACGGATTCCTGCTTCACGGGGCTGGCCATGGATCTAAAGTGGGCCGGCAGAGCCAACACTCAGTAACTGGGAGTTCTATCATGAGACAGGAAAAGAGTAATGAGATATGGAGCTAGAGTGACCAACTCATCCCAGTTTGTCCAGGGCTGTCCTGGCTTTAAAACTGGAACTCCCAAGTCCTGCAAACGGCAGCACCCCCCCGCCCCCAGTCCAGAGCAAACCGGGCAGCCAGGCTCTCCAGCCAGAGCCCCCAGAGGGAAGGAGAGGAGAAGCTGCTTGAAGGGAGAGCCTACGTGATTCACCTTGGTGTCCCCCTCACTAGCACAAAGGAGGTCCTCAAGAATCGGTGAGTGAATAAAGAAAATGAAAAAGAAACAGTAAGTAGAAAAAAGGAGGAATGACAGAAAACAATCCAAAGCCACCCTGAAAGCAGTGAGAGGATTTCCCTGACTGCATCCCCCATGCATCCTACCAGGCCAAAGTGCCCTGCGTGGGATGCAGGAAAGAACACTGGAAGGGCTGATGAATACACCTTCCGATGGGAGTTTTTACAGGTGAACCAAATAAATGTTAAGGACTAGTCTTGCTATAAGAGACTGACACACCAAATCAAGACATTAACAATTTAGGGTCTTCGCCTAGAATTCTTCTCACGCAGTGAAAACTATCTTTGAAGATTCAGGATCCTCTGTTGTTAAACAGAGATGCTTCCACAGACCCAGCCTCTTCCTTGACTTCACTCGGTGACACAGCAGCATCCCAGCTTTGCACAGGACTTGGGTTTAGGATACAAAAGATTTCCAACAATCAATCCTCAGGGTAGACATCGGTGTCCAGTGAAAAACACCATCTTCCCCACAGCGGTATTTTTAAAAGAAATGTCAGGCTGCGAACTGCCCTCCGGGAGAGAACGTGCCACTATTCAGAACAGAGCCTCCCCTACCTGCTCACCCTCTTTATTTAGAGGCTCCTTTGGTGCGAAACAGGGAACTCAGAGGCAAGAGTGAATGAAGCCTTAGGCTTACAGCGTCTTGAAAGGAAAAATAGGAACTCAGAGGAGAAAGATTTAGAGAAGTAGCAGGTTCTGAGGCTAGAGATAAAAAGCCTGAGTGCCCTAAAAAATGAGGCAGTCTACACACCAAACCAGCAGGTTACAGACAAAATGGGGGAAATCCTTGTTGGTCTTCTTAAAGGACCACTGCAGTTAGAAGTGCTTATTGTGAAAAACTTTTATTTTTTTTTTTATGCTCCACATGGAATGGGAAGCAGTATTTTTTAGATAAAACTGAAAAGCAACATCACTGTTACGGTTGTAAGCAGGTTGTGTAAAAACAGGAGAGCGGCTCAGCAGTACACACTGGGAGGCCCGCACGCTGCTGGGGGACGGGAAAGGGAGGTGGCTGCTCAGGAAAACAGCCTGGCAGTTCCTCCAAGAGAAACTCCGAGTCACCGTGTGACCCAGCAATTCTCAGCCTAGGTATTCACCCAAGAGCACTGCAAACGTGTGCCCCCACCAAAACCTGTACACAAACGTTCAGAGCGGCACAATTCACAATAGCCAAAACGTGGAAGCAACCCAAATGTCTATCAACTGATGAACGACTCAACAAAATGTGGGACAACCACTGGAATATCGCTCAGCCTTAAAAAGAAAACGCTGACACACACCATGACATGGATGAACCTTGAAGACAATCCGCTGAGTGAAATAAACCAGACACAAAAGGACAAATACTGTTAAGATTCTATTCAGATGAAGCACCTAGAGCCAGAGACACAAAGGAGAATGGTGGTTGCCAGGGGCAAGGGGGAGGGAGGCATGAGTTGTGTTTAAAGGTATTTTAAGAGTTTGAATTTGTGAAGATGGAAAAGTTCTGGAGAAGGATGGTGGTAATGGTGGCCCAACCATGAGAAAGTCCGTAACGCCCTGAACTGCACACATAAAGATAGTGAATTTTGGGGCACCTGGCTGGCTCAGTCGGTGGACTATGCAACTCCTGATCCGGGGGTTGGGAGTTTGAGCCCCACGCTGCGTGTAGCACTTACTTAAAAAAAATTTTTTTAAAGATTTTTTTTTTTTGGTATTTAATTTTGTACTATGCATATTCTAGAGTAAAAAAAATACAACTTAAAAAAAATGAAGTACTGGGGTGTCTGGGTGGCTCAGTCGGTTAAGCGTCTGCCTTCAGCTCAGGTCATGATCTCAGGGTCCTGGGATTGAGCCCGAGTCGGCCTCCCTGCTCAGCGGGGAGTCTGCTTCTCCCTCTCCCTGCCACTCCCCCTGCTTGTGCTATCAAATGAATAAAATCTTTTTTTTTTTTTTAAAGATTTTATTTATTTATTTGAGAGAAAGAGAGAGAGACAGAGAAACAGCATGAGAGGGGAGAGGGTCAGAGGGAGAAGCAGGCTCCCCGCTGAGCCGGGAGCCCGATGTGGGACTCCATCCCAGGACTCCGGGATCATGACCTGAGCTGAAGGCAGTCGCTTAACCAACTGAGCCACCCAGGCGCCCCAAATGAATAAAATCTTAAAAAAATAAAATAAAATGAAGTACTGGTACATCCTACAACCTGGAGGAACGTTATGCTTAGTCAAAGAAGCCAGACACAAAAGGCCAATATTGCAGGATCCCATTTATACGAAATGTCCAGAATAGGCAAATCATAGAGACAGGAAGTAGATTAGTGGCTGCCTAGGGGTATGGGAGGGGGGAAAGGGTAGTGACCGCTAATGGGCACAGGGTCTTTTTTGGGTGATGAAAATGTTTTGACATGAAATCGTGGTAATGGTCCTCTAACTGTAAATAAACTAAAAACCACCAAATTGTTCAATTTAAAAGGGGAAATTTTCTGGTAAGAGAATTGTATCATCACAAAACTATTATTTTTTAAAAGTTCTGCAGCACAAAAAGAAATGAGCAGTTAGACTGCTCTGGAGCACCTACTTCCGGGAAAGGTCTCTGGAGGTGGTCCCATTTCAGAAGCTTCAGGTATGCATAATTCTGGACAGCCACAGGATTTGGCATGGGACCGTCCCCAGAGCCAGCGGCCCCTCCCCCAGCTGGCAGAGCATTTTTATACTTCTGATTCATAAGGTCATCTGCGGCTTCTTCCAGCCACTGGGTGACAAAGTCCAGGGAATCTGTGAAAAACAAGGCTGCGAACATTACTATGACACTCAGGAGGGATGCTTCTCGGAATGACTTTAGGGAAGATCATCCTGAAGGTGTGGTATATATAGAGTACAGACTTTGGAATCAAATAAAACTCGGTTTAAATCACAGTATTGCAAATTACTAGCTAAGAATGATCAGATTCCTAATATAAAGAGATGGATAATACCACCTTGTAGGCAGTTCCGAGGACTAGACAAGATCGTGCATACAAAGCACATGGCCGGCCTCGCCACCTACGATGTTCAACAAACCACGGGCTTCGCTCCCACCCCGACCACGGCAGGAGACAAGACTGGGGGCTCTGATCACTCCAGCTCAGTGAGATGCAAAAATTCTTGCCCAGAGACAGGAGGAGACACAGGAGAGAGTTTCCCAGTGCAAAGTATCCTCCACACTGAAAATGAGGCCTTTTCCTTGTCTAGATCTGAGTCTCCCATCAAGCTCGGTTGCTTTCAGCCTCATGGGAGGGGAGCTCTGCCACCCTGAGGACGCTGCTTCTGCTGCGTCTGGAACAGGAAGTCCCTCTGACAGCTCCTGGAACGTGCTGTGGCTCTGCCCAGGAAGGTCACCTTCAAGCCAAGTGGGCGGCCAAGGACACGGCTGCAGGATGCCCCTGTGCCAACGCCGCAGCCTGCTGCAGGCGGCACACTCCGTAGCCCGGCAGCTTGTACACGTGAGGAGGGAGGGGGAGCCTGGCCGGCTCAGCGCCCGCAGCGGCGGCTCCTTCACTGGGCCCTTGGCTGCCGGCACCCGACTCTCACACTAAGACTCTTCGGCCTAGAAGACGGCCAGCCTGGAGGCCTCCCGAGGGGCAGTACAACCCTGGCTGAGAAAGTGAACTGGGTGGTCAATCATTCTGGTCAAAAATTTCTCAAAATCGATGTCCACATTTGTAAAGAGGGGTTAAAAAAAAATAGTGCGCCCCTTGTAGGCTTATGGTGCGAGGATTATACTAATCATGCACCCGCCCTGGGCACACGCCGTGTGTGTGTGCTGGGAACAGCATCCAGTCTTCTCTTGGTATCGTTTCTTCTGCTCTGCTCTTTCCTGACCCCTCCTTCTCTGTCTGCGGCTGGATGGACACCTGCTCCGGGTGCTGCATGAACTATTCTGGTCAGGCGACACAATCTAGCCAGAGACTGCCATTTTCTTCTTTAACCACCCAAGTTAGGGGCTAAATGGAACTCATAATAAATGAGGATTTCACAGCCATCCAGGGGCGCCTGGGTGGCTGAGTCAGTTGGTTGATCATCTGCCTTCGGCTCAGGTCATTATCTCAGGGTCCTGGATCGAGCCCCGCATCGGGCTCCCTGCTCCGCGGACAGCCTGCTTCTCCCTCTCCCTCTGCTCCACCCCCCGCTCGTGCTCTCTCTTGCTCTCAAATAAAATCTTAAATAAATAAAAAAATTGGATCCGAAGGCTGTAATTTACCAGGAACATCAGCTGTCGATGCAGAACCCCCACCCCGAAAAAAAGCACCCTAGAAATGCAACACAGTTTTGATTCTATAGTCCTCTGTTCTCCTGCTATCACTGGAGAGGCTTATGGAAATGAGACTTTTTCTGGGTATCCAGGAAGAAAATCCAGGAAGATTTTCTGCATATAGAACGGAGGCAAAGTAAAATTTCTTCTTGTACCTCCAAGAGAGGGGAAAGTGAGTTAAATAGTCACAAGAAGTCGGTCGTGTTTTAAAAATCAAGGCCAAGCATACAATTTACCCCAAACTGGTGTTCTCATTAAAAACCTATTAATTTAGGACTTCTTTGTTCTTTTAAATTTTTCTTATATTCTACTTCTGTTTCTCTTGCTTGTCAATTGTCAAGTTCAAAGTCTTGTGCTTTTCGGTCTTGAAATCAGAACACTCCCATACAAAATTTTAGTTTTATTTTGCAAACAGTATCATTGTGCAACCAGCTACAGCCCTGAAATGGAAGAACAGAGTGCAGGACACCACAAAGCATTAGACGTACTTGGCTGCTTCTCCAAAAGCTGTTGAAACTTCTTCCTTTCGTAGTCCACGGACTGCTGCATGAGATGCGGCCTAATGCTAGTGACGGCAAAGTTCGCCATGTCTACTTTCATGAGGTCCAACACGGAAAAAATTGCCCTGAGAGAAAAGGGAGAAAAGCATTTAGAACTGGGCATGTGTCAAGGAAGCATGGTCTTAGAGGAAAGAGGGGAGCAGATTTGAGAGAGGCTTTTCATCTCAAAAAGGGCAGCAAGTTGGAAAATCAAGAGCGTGTGGATTAAAAAAAACAGACTTAAGGGACGCCTGGCTGGCTCAGCTGGTAGAGCATGGGACTCTTGACCCTGGGGTTGTGAGTTTGAGTCCCATATTGGGCATAAAGATTACTTAATAAAAAACAAGTAACAAATAACCATAAAAAAAAGACAAGAAAAATTTAGAAAACACAAAAATTTAAATAACAGATTAAAAAGACTGCAAATTTTTAAGCTGCTTTCTGTCCCTGCTCCTCCACACCCTACCTCCAAGCAAACACAGCTCTCCCACTGCCTGTCTAGGCTAGAACTCGTTCCCTGGCACGGGGTCAGCCCTCCTGGCAGCCACAGAGAAGGACGACCAGGACCCAAGGTCAAGGGCAGAGAGCGGACCACCCGGTCCCCACTCTCCCACAGGCTAATTCACTTTCCTAGGGAAGAAAGAATAAGAACTCTCCTCTCTCCCCTCCTCTTCCCCCAGGCTCTTAGTTTCAGGGCCCGTTTTCTGTTCTAGTTTTGTGGCAGAACTGCAAGCTCACACTCCGAATGTGCCCGACGGGCAGACCTGACCCGACGCTCAGGATGCCTTCAATCCTGCCTGTCACGTACCATCACCTCGTCTCCAGAGGCTGGGAGCTGCTAAGTGACCTACTTGCAGGAGGTGGCTGAGAACCCAAGGTACAGGCTTGGGTGTGGCCCCACAGGGAAGGAAGAACAGGGTCAAATGTCCTCTGAGTCCCCTGACGCCCTCTGGGACAGATTGAACGCTGTATGATACAGTGACCTTACGTGTGGGTAAGTTTATTATGGAAAAGACACACAGTCTGAGAACAATTCATGGCCTCTCTGCTGACATCCTGTCCACCTCCCAAGTACCTGGGACAGCCCACTTCTCCAGGGACATTCTGCCTCTCCTCTGAATGCTCCTTAGCAATTCCCCACATCCACCTACTGCAGACCAGTGACTGCTGGAAACTGCCCGCCGACAGCCGCTGACTAGAGTAGCCCACGAATACGTTCGTGCTCACAGAGTGTTTTTAAAGACCTCCATTTCCAGGCTCTCCTGAGAAATCAGAGGGTCTGACAATGTGGGCCATATTCCTTCATCTCCCCTTCAACAGTGTCTGTACTCCCACTTTGCTGGGTTCCCCAGGCCCGTCTCCTCCCAGTAGGAATTGAGTTTAGGTTGAGTTTGCTGCAAGCTCTCTCCCCAGGGGACTCACTTCCTCGGAACTCCTCACTTGGCCTTATTAGGAGCTCTTACTATTTCTAACATCTAGCACCATGCCCAGCACATAAGAGATGCTCAGTAAGAGCTTATTGCATGAATGAACTCCATTTTTAAGAGGTTTGTTTTTGTTTAAGATTTTTTTTGTTTGTTTAAGATTTTATTTGACAGAGAGAGACACAGCTAGAGAGGAAACACAAGCAGGGGGAGCGGGAGAGGGAGAAGCAGGCTTCCTGCAGAGCAGGGAGCCCGATGCGGGGCTCGATCCCAAGACCCTGGGATCATGACCTGAGCCGAAGGCAGATGCTTAATGACTGAGCCACCCAGGCGCCCCTTTTTAAGATTTTTAAGTGATCTCCACACCCAA